GGCGCAAAGAGGTTCAGAATGGTGACCAATCACTCATGGGAAACGCCATGCATTCCGTTTCGCTTAAGAATCGAAGCGTACCAGTGCTGGGATTAGAAAAAAGCCTGTATGACTATCCTCCTCCTCCTCCCTCAATGTAGTGCCCTAAGAACCAACTCACTCGAAAGGAATGAAAGCTGCCTTGCTTCGCCTGGAAGGGTACCGGTCCGCAGTTCAACTCCCTCACTGCGCGCATGGTAAGCGGTGCTAGTGGCGCAAAAAAAGTGAAGAAACAAGTGCTTTCGTTGTCGCATCTCTTTGAGCGCGAGAGGCAAGGGCAAATTCTGCAACTGCGAGTCGTTTCGGCTGCTTTCTAATTCCACTAGTTTTTGCCTCTTAAATCCATTTTCTGTGACGGACCTTGTATACCTTGTGATTAATCGCTCAGGATAGGAAAAACTGGCAATCCAGCTGTATCCCTTCCTCACCACCTTTGCCTCGAGTCGACCAACTTGAGCCTCAACGTCCAACCTCACATGTTTCCCTACTTCTATTTACCTCAAAGTTTCTAGAAAAAAGAACTCGTCACATGTGGGAAAGTACTCATTAAGGACAGTGAAAAATCTCTGGACCTGCTGTCTTACCATTAGCCAAAGTGCCTACATCCTTCAGGTTAATGCTTAACCCTTCCCCACAAAAAGGGAATGACCCTTCCACAGCTCTCCATTTACGAACCTCTCATTGGTTATGCTCCAACAACAGTGTGCGCTGATTCCAAAAGAGTCAACCAATCCGTTTTATAAGAATTATCGTCCAGCGGTGTTCAGCTGTAGTATTAGTTCATGGCTTACTCAGAATGTTCAATTTAAGTGAAATTAGTTGTATAAGACTTTGTTTTCGGATCTAACACCACGCGTAAAGTTGTGTGGAACAACACTAAGGAGCCAGTATAAGCGAGAGGCCGAATTTTGGGAAATTACTGGTTTCTTCTGACCAAGAAAAGTCAACAGGTCAGCCTGGCTATATGCAGTGAGGTGCACATCATTGTACTCGTCTTGAGACGGTGAAGCTCGAAACTCTTTCCTAATTTGCGGAACGATTCTCTGAGCGGAGTTATGGAGGTTTCTTTACTGTT